CTAACCCATCCAAAGTAGATTGTATTGTAAATTTTCCCGAACCTTCTAATCAAAAAGAAATTAAGTCCTTTCTCGGTCTAGCCGGATATTATCGAAGATTCATTTCTAACTTCGCCAAAATTTCAAAACCCCTGACAAACCTTTTGAAAAAAGACATTACATTTAATTTTGACGCTGAATGCAAAAAATCATTTGAAGAACTAAAAAATTGTTTAATTTCAACCCCAGTTTTAATTTACCCAAACTTTGACGAACCATTTCTACTTACTACTGATGCGAGTGCTTTTGCTATCGGAGCAGTACTCTCGCAAGGCCCCATAGGTAAAGACTTGCCCATTGCCTATGCCTCGAGAACACTTTGCAGTGCCGAAACTAAGTACTCCACAATAGAGAGAGAACTTCTCGCCATTGTGTGGGCTGTCAAACACTTTCGACCACTAATATTTGGACGAAAATTTAAGTTAATAACCGATCACAGACCTTTAACTTGGCTCTTTTCTATAAAAGACCCAGGAAGTCGTCTTGCTCGTTGGCGACTTAAACTAGAAGAGTATGATTACGAGATAATCTACAAACCCGGTAAAATCAATAAAAACGCCGATGCTCTATCGCGTATAAGAATAAATCATATTCAAGACATTTCAAAATTTCAATTTAAACACCAACTTACCCCATATTCAGCCTTACCACTTAATACAGACGATAACGATGACACTGATCCTGACACACAAGACGAAAATGACGATCAAAACATTACCAATACTGAAAAAATGTACCAAGAATTTGATACATTTATAAACTTATATAAAACCCAATCTTTAATTGACTATTCGAAAATCGAATATTCAAACGAACAATTGTTAAACAAAAATAATAAAAACATTTTAGTCTTCTTCCAAAAAGATAATTTACAAGAACTCCACGAAAAAGTATCTGAAGACATCTTCGAAGAACACGCAGATTTCGAAGCTTTCAAAATTAACATTTTTAGTAGTAAAACAGTAAAAAGCCAAAAATATTTAATTATACCCCTTCCATCTGACCCTAATTCAGTTTCAGAAGTTTTATTCGCATCCCTATACAACTCTCAAAATAATTTAGAAGCCAATAAAATCTATAGCGTAGAAACTAATATCGACCTACCAATATTAGAAATGTTATCCTTTCTTTTTGCAGAAAAAGAAATTAAATTTAAAGTCTTTCAAAACGTCACAAAAACACCTGACCCTGATCAAATTCCAATAATTTTAGATCAACTTCACTGCGGTAAAGCCAACCTTCACCGTGGAATTAACGAAACCATACGCAGAATAAAACAAAAATATAATTGGACCGGACTCACAAAAGACGTAGAAAAATTTATAAAAAATTGTACTACCTGCCAAAAAACTAAAGCTTATCGTAAAAACCTCGACCGACCTTTTGTCATCACCGAAACACCTAGAACACCCTTTGAACGCATTAATATTGACATCCTAGAAGTCCCTAGTAGAAATTACGCTCTTACCATCAGAGATGAACTGACAAAATTTAGCCAAGCTTATCCAATTAATGACAAAAGCGCAAAATCCGTTGTTAACACTTTACTCCTATACTTCCAACATTTTGGCACCCCTCTTCGTATTCATTGTGACTACGGTAGAGAATTTGACAACAGCCTCCTAAGAGACTTATGTAATCTTTATGACATAAAATTAACGTATTCTAGCGCAGGACACCCACAATCAAATGGTTCTCTCGAACGATTTCATTCCACCCTATTGGAAATGATAAGAGTTCACTTAGCTGAACACCCAAACGAACACCCTTTTAACATACTGCCCTATGCCGTAATTTGTTACAACAACTCGAATAATAAAACGCATGGATTCACTCCATACGAACTAGTCTTCGGACACACCTCTAGTAGACCTCCAGAAAAACTTTATAATGAAAATCAACTTATTACCAAATATATTAGAGACCTTAATAATCGAATAACACATTATTACAAAATAGCTAGAGCCCGAACCGAAGCCCAAAAACAAAAGTCCAAAACCCGTTTCGATCAACATGTTCATGATAATCTTCCAAATTATCAAGTAGGTGACAAAGTTTATATAAAAGAATCCCAAATAAAAAACAAATTAGAAAACAAGTTTAATGGTCCTTTTGAGATCTTAGAGATTTTAAATAATTCCGCTATACTTTTAAATACCCAAACAAATCAACGCACAAAAGTCAATTTTGACCGAATGAAACCCTATTCTGAAAATTAATTATTTTTAGGTACTTAATGCTGATTGGTACAGCACTCTGCCAATACCGAATAGAACCCATTAACAACACTTTGGGAATATACTATCATGACGAAACACAAATCGTTGTTTCCAAAGCCCAATGGACACTACTTGTACACAGAAACATAACAAACTTACGCGTCGCATTTGACAATAACGACAAAATTTTAAAGACAATTCATAACACCATACGCCCTGACTATCATAATATGAATTCTTTCAGAGCTGAAGTCACTACACACGTTAACTTATTAACACAAATATCTCAGACAATTAAAAGAAAATTTGACGAAATATTTACAGACACAAAGCGCTCTAAAAGAGGCCTTGTTAACGGTTTTGGTACAGTATTCAAAGCAATTACTGGTAATTTAGATGCATCAGATGGCGAATTCTTCACTAACAGTATCAATAAATTAAATAAAGATCAAAGTCAAGTTGAAAATCTATTAAAAAATCAAATAACAGTCACAACATCAATTATGCAAAACTTTAACAACACAATACAAAAACTTTCGTTTGACGAAAAAACATTTAATAACGACATTTTCAAAATAGAAAGAGCAGTTCACCTATTAGGAGATAAGATCGCGCTAGTAGAAGCCAAATTAAAATTTTTCGAAATTTGTGAAAAACTAATGGAAAGTTACTTGTTTTTGGAGGACAATCTTAATGACATAATAAATGGCATTACCTTTGCCCGCCTAAAGATAATTCATTCTTCAATTATAACCCCCAACAACTTAATATTAGAGTTACAAAAAATATCTCAAAATCTTGAGAAAAATAATTTACCTTTAGCCATTAAACATTCACAAATAGCTCAGTATTTGGAAATCATAGAACTCCAAGCGTATCAAACAAATCATGATCTTGTTTTTGTTTTAAAAATCCCTTTAATTGAACAACAAATCTACACCCTCTACCATTTATTTCCTATTCCTATACCTGATGAAAGAACTGGTCTTTATCACGTTTTGTCAATAAGTCAAAAATATATCGCGCGAAACGATGATTCTTTAATGTACATCCCCGTCAAGAATCTAGAAGAATGCAAGCAGCTATCACCAGGAAGAAAACTGTGCTCCAACCTGTACGCATACCCAATAGACAATAATGCCGCGTGTGAAGTGCAATTGTTAAAAACCAACATGAACGTTCCGAATAACTGTCATAGTGCCTTAATTTACGGACAAGGTTATAATGTGCAAAACTTAAAGGACAATACATGGTTAATTAGTGCGACCGAACCTGTTCAAGTGTCTATAAACTGCCAAAACATAAACTCTGAAACATTGGTAATAAATAAAAACTCTTTGTTAAAACTAAAACCAGTGTGCCAAGCCTCCATCGGCATTACAAAAATACAAGCAGAAGCTAGCAAGACATCCAACGTAATCGAAAACCCTCAACCCGTTCTCGTTCCATACAACTGTTGTACTCATGTTCCAGACAATATAGAACTCCCTAAATTAGAACCTTTAAAAATCAATAACTTAAATATGGAGGAATTGGAAATTGCCAACCACAAACTTCAACAATATTCGAGAAATTTGGATAATCTTATTAATCAACCTTTCGTCGAGAAAAACATATCATGGTTCACTTATTTGACTATAGCTCTAATAGTCATTAGCATTGTTGCATACGTAACAATAAAATTGTTTACAAAATTTAAACCAAGAAAAACGATATCCGAAACGATATCAAACACCATCAAAAGACGACCAGACATCGAATCCAACGATAACTTCTGTGAAATCCAACTTAGCGAAAAAGTTGCTGCATAGCATCAACTTTTCAAAAATAAGGGGAGCTGTTATATGTGATAAAATGATGACACCATAGACTTCACGAGAGTCATATTTCGTTATCTAATCGGAGAAGATAACAAGGTATGGAATTCTCTGGGAAATGCAACTCTTCATTTATTCAACGATGAGAACCCTGAGACAACACGTACAACATATTTTAAAAACTTATAAATAGGAATGTCTTTGCTTTGTTAGTTTAGTATTATACTCAGTCTTGTAACATTAAGTACTTAATAATTTTATATTGTAATTTTTGTGTTTAAATAAATTTGTGTTTTTTTTTTAAAGTGAATTTTAATAACAAGAAGATAAAATAAATATATATATATATATATATATATATCAATGCGAATGTGTACGTTTTTCCGCATTAATTGAAAAAGTAAAGAAGGCCTCTTCAACGTCAGGTTATAATACAATATATTGTTATAACATCTTTCAGTTCAGATAATTGAGGAGCTTGCGCGCAAATCCCGCTAAATCCCCAAAGTCAAATTTGTGGAAAATCGCAAAAAACATATAAATCAAGTATGATTAGCGTTTTACGACTTTTTTCATTGCGTTCTACTGATCGTCAACAAACATTTACAAAATTTTCGCTGAAAATTTGTTATCCCTTATATATTTTAAAAAATATTTCTTTTTGGATTTAGCGGGTTTTGGTTTAAATATGAAAATAATTAGCATATAATAATCCTATTATTATAATTCTTTTAATGAATATTTAAAAAAAAAATAAAAAAACACATTTAAGAAACTTTTTCACTCATTTATTTTTCTTATAGAAGGGCGTAACATTAGAAATAATTATTTTTATATTAATATTCCAACGTATTTTAAAACAAACGCGCGATCTCCAAACTTTGGTTTCAAAAATATAAAAAAAATTATTAAAAACATTTTTTCACTAAATATGCACTGCATATATATCTTCTGCAAGGCAATCGCATGGCTCAGAATCTGATGTCTCATCTTCTATATTGATTCCTTGCCTACCTAGTAAATCATTGTACCAAGCCAAGTCTTTGTCATTCTTCCAATCTTTTCCAAATTGCTTACTCAATAAATTTTCCAAAGATTTTTTCTTTTTCTCGGGTATGCCCCTTCGATCTGCTAATGACCTTTCTTTTAAGTCTGAGTGGAGTGTCCCTCGGGAGCTTGATTTTGTTAGTGTTGAATATTGTTCGGTACCAGTCCTAAACCTAAAGTGCTGAAATCCACAGACAGAAACGTTTTCCATAGGTTTTTTTAAGCTAATCACTTTCATATTAGAAATGCCATTGATCTTCTTGAGTTTTTCTCATAATAATTTGATATTGTAGATTCTCCAGCCATTTTCTTTGTCACTATTAAGTGACCTGACAACTCCATGGCTTTTGTAGATTTCATTATAATCGTTTTTTGATATGAGAAGTGGATGCTTTTTTAGATCGTGTTCTACGCGACCAAACACTCGGTCGGCCGGTAGAAAAGAGTGACCACGGACTGGGTACGTTGTTATAATTTCTGATAAAGCTGGTGGAGATTTCAACTTAAACCACAAAGTGTGAATGATGTGCGAGTTCCTATTTTGTCCTCCACAACCATCGTGTGAATGTCCGTGAGTGTAAGACTGTTTAAGTGATGAAACAAAGCAGAACCAATTTCTTCTGCACCTCGTCCGGCTTGGTCTTCAGTCCATATATAAAATGTAGGACTTTTAGATTTTTTGTCAACACAACAAAAGTTATACAAACTAACTTGGGGTCCTGGGCTTTCCTGATCTTTATGGATATTTAGTACGCTTAAGAACATGGCTTGACACACTTGAATCTTTTTTTTTTGAAAGTTTTTTTGGCAACACATATGTTACTGTAAACTCTCGTTTTCTAGGTTGGTTCTTGATGGATCGTTTACGGTCGACAGCAGTAGCAGACAAAAAATGGCATAATTTGATATCTTGTTGAATCTTAGCATTAGTGGCGTTAAAAGAAGTTCTTATATCTTGCACATCTCCAAGATTTATTTCTGAACAACAATATGTAGGGCCCTTGTGTAAACATGGTTTTTTGAATGACTTAACACCAGGGGCAGAAGCCCGAGTTCTAACGAACAAACAAAATTACTAAATTACTTCTTGACAAAAATAATATTGTAACTTACCTCTTTAATTTATTTTCCTGCCGTTTAGTCCTATTTTTTTGTCTTTTCTTTGATCCCACATTACTTGCACCTACAGTGGTATTTGCATCATCCATTTTCACTCACTTATAAGTTATAAAAACTACTAGCAAATTTTACTTGAAAACTATGAGGTTATAAAAACCACCTAAATGTTCGTTAAAGCGTACTCAGCGTCATCTATGTGATTTAAAAAAAAATGTGCTTAATAAAACGAGTAATAGGTATTTAGCGGGTCATGGTACTGATATTGGATTTAGCGTTGTTTGCTCCAAAGTCCTATATTTGACAGATATTTAGGAAGGGATTTAACGGGTTTTCCTCTATAACGAAAGGTTGGTCTTGTAAAGATCATGTAAAAGTATAGGAATCTGCAAAAAAGTAAAAAATGCCTGAAAGTGGATTTAGCGGGGTTTGCGCGCATGCTCCTCAATTGCTCTATAAATTGTGTTGAATGTAAATGTAAATATATTGATAAAATGTTAGATTGTTTTCGAGAAGTTGTAATAAATCTAATTATTTTATTTAAGAAATAAAAGAATTCTTAAATACCGTTTACTTTTACTTTAGTATACAAAATGCACTTTATTCAGCAACATCAGTCGCTACCTATAAAAAACTTTTTTTCAATGAAAATCAAAGTACACAGCACCGGAAGCATGGTAGTTTGTAACCAAGATCATTTCGAGCAATTTTCTGTGGTCCCAGTGGGTGTGGAAAAATGTATTATTAAATTTAATATTTAATCCCAACTGCATTGCTTTTGAAAATATTTATGTTTAATATGTTTAATAATAAACATTGTTTATTCGAAATCTCTTTATCAGTCCAAACTGTCCAACTGTTTAAAAAAAAATTAAAGGAATAAAATATTTTTCCCAAGGAAATAATGATGATATAGTAGAACAGAATAAGGCATTAAAAAACTCAATTTTTATTTTTGATGATGTTGCATGTGATAAACAAAACAAAACTCGCGAATATTTTAGTATGTGTACACAAATCTATAGATGCTACCTATTTTTGTCAAACTTATTCAAAAATACCTAAACTGTTGATAAGAAATAATTGTAACATTGTAAAAGGACGAAATAAATTTAAAGCATATATTTGATGAGCATGTCACCTGATGTCATTTTATCGTTTTAAAGATATATGTTTGAAATGTTGGCAAGAAAATTTCGGGTGTTTTGTTATTGTTAAAGACTTATTTAAATAATGGCCAATATCGTATGGGGTTTGATAAGTATATAAGATATCACACACTTTATCATGGCACCCCCAACAACAGCAGGTTTAGCATCGGATGCTAAAATTAAAAAAAAAGAGTTAGCTCAGGATATACGAAAAAAACATTTGGCTCTTAAATTGGAAAAAGCTGAAAATGATGCCACATTAGAAAAAATATTTAAACCTAAAACCATACCAATAAAAGAATTTATAAAGTAAAAAGCTTTAGTTAAAAAGGAAAATAAATATAAAACAGTAAATAAAACCCCCACGGAATATGAGGATGATTATGACAATGATGCTGCTGCTGCTGCTGATGATGAGGATGTTGAAACTAGTAAGAATGATTATGATGATGCCGAAGTGGTAAACAAAAATATATCATTGAATAGTGAATACCTTGCTAATTATCCAAATTTTTTAAATGATGGTAACAAAAAAGGTTTTGATACAACATATGTTGTTACTTACGATCCTAAATTAAATAAATGGTTAATTGGGAAAAGTGTTATAAAATTTATTGATAATAGTGATTTTACTATTGAAAATAACAATTTTAAGGGTACTGAAGGTTTATATAAATTATTATTTAAAAAAATCCATCGAATTACTCTGAAGAGGATATGCAAAACTACGGGGAAATTTTACAATTAACAAATGTGCATAAACGAAACTTTGAATCAATAGGGGTACCAAGAGGAACTAGTTTAGATAAATATCGTAAAATAATAAAAACATTGATACAAAAGTCTGCTAGCAGAACTGGGTATTAAAAATATAAAAATAAAAATGATTTATTTAATACGTTAACCTACCACAATAAACATACAGGAGTAAGGACCGCAAAAGGAAGAGCTCAAAAATCTTACAAAGGTTATGTGGCCTTTTTTTTCTGTCTATCAACAAAAGCAGTTCACATGGAAGTCGTCAGTGACATGTTATCTGAAGCGTTCATGGCCTCCTTTCGAAAATTTATCTCAAGAAGAGTGTGCTCATGTGTACAGCGACAACGGAACAACGTTTATGGGAACGGCTTCTAGACGAACAGATTAGAAGAATGCTTTTGGAGTCAAACGTACAAAACAAATCAGCAACTATTGGAATACAATGGCATTTCATCCGACAAGCAGCACACATTTTGGCGGAATATGGAAAGCGGCCGTCAAATCAATGAAACATTATTTAAAAAAAATTGTTTGCGAAGCCACCAAATAGAAGCATGTCTGAACTCCTGACCTCTATGCCCATTGACAGATGATATCTACGATTCAAGCGCACTAACACCAGGGCATTTTTTAAATGGGAAAGAATTAATGACACCATCAAATCCAACGTCAGCAGACGTAAATCCCAATCTAAAGAACCATTGGAATTTGATTCAAAAGATGAAAAAAGACTTTTAGAAAGTATGGTTGACAGAATACCTTCATGAACTTCAAAAAATATATAAATGAAAATTTAGTGAGGGTAACATGGTACCAGGTGAAATGGAAATCATAAAAGAAGACAACATGTTGTAACCTCAACCCGAGGGCTATGGCGAACGGTAGCTTTTCAGCGGAGAGATAGGTCGATGGGCAAATGTTGTTTTTCGATACTTACGTGTATACAAAATATATTTACTAAATTTATAAAGGCAAATCAAAATTGGGCGCCAGTGTCTTATAATAATAATAATCTTTATTGCCCAACAGGATTCTCCCAATTACAGGACAATGGTATAAATATATATAACAAATATATCAAATATATATATATATATAACACATATTTAAAACAAATATATCGGACATACAATACAAAAACTTAAGAAATAAAATAATAAAAAAAAACAATATCCTTATTATTTAAATATATCAACTAATAGCTCATTTCCATTTTTGCACATGGTTGTTATTGGTGCTTTTGATAAAATATTTGTTCTGGCAGTGGGAATTTGAAAGGAGACAGAAGTTCTTGAGTTATTCCTCGGAACATGAAACTGAATCTTCGACAGTAAGTATTCGCAGTCAACGGTACCCCTTACCAATTTCGTTAAAAAACGTGCACTTTGCAAATCTCGCCTTGTGTCCAAGTGCATTATTTTGTATTCACTCATAATACTGTCCAGGTTAGCATTTTGTTCTGGGTACGTTGCATACATGTATTTTAAGAATCTTCTTTGAACTCTATAAATATTTATGCGATGGCATGTGAATATTGGGTACCAGATCAAACTTGCATACTCCAGCTTGCTTGCTACAAATGTTATATAAAGAGACCTTATTAAGGAAACATTTACAAAATCTCTTGTGGATCGAATAACAAATCCCAATGACCTTCCGGCTGCTGAACAAACATTGTTTATATGTGGTACAAAAGAAAGTGTTTGATCAAACAAGACGCCCAAGTCAGTTACCTCATTCTGTCTTCTTAATTCAGTGTTGACGATCTTATACTGGTTTAAGTAAGGAACCTCTTTTCTGGTGTATGTGACCACGACACATTTCTCAACATTGAGTTTTAATGAATTTTTCGTGCACCATAAGGAAATTGTGTTAAGGTCTCGCTGTAACAATTCAACATCCAAAGGTGTAGATATTTTTGTATAGACTTTAATGTCATCTGCATAGGCCAAAGTAAGACAAGAGAGTGATGCTAGTAAGTCATTAATGTACAAATTAAATAAAAGTGGACCTAGATTGGATCCCTGGGGTACTCCAGAGCTGGCAGTAAATCAGCATGAAGAAAAACCATTATAACTAACGTAGCATTTTCGATTAGTCAAGTATGATTTAAGAAGTTTTACGAAATTAGAAGAAAACCCAAAACCATTAAGTTTCTGTATTAAAATAGAATGACTAATGTTATCAAAAGCTTTCGATAAATAAGTGTAGATCACATCGACCTGTCCACGCCTATCCAAAACTTCAGAAATATATTGGGCGACAGATGCCAAATTAGTAACTGTTAATCGTCCTACAAAAAATCCATGTTGATAGGGTGAGATACGTTGTTTGGTATTAAAATATATGGTGGAGTATAAAATTTGTTCAAATATCTTTGAAAAATTTGATAGAATTGATATAGGTCGGTAATTTTCAACTAATGTTTTATCGCCTTTCTTGAAAATAGGTACTACACGCGCCGCACAGACCGGTATTTTGACCTAAAACGTGGCCAAAAATATTTGGGCACTTTTTCTTTATCAAAAGGGTAGCAAATGACCAAAAAACATATTTTTAAAGGTATACAAGTGATATTAGGTACTTTTACTATAAATAAAAAAAAGTATGTATTCACAAATTTATTTATAAAAAAATTATAAAGTAGCTACTTAAATGCAAGTAATGCAATAAAAATATTAAAACTAAACATATATTAAAGTTTTTGTGCCCTTTAAAAAATAAAAAATACATCCATTTACCAAAAAATCTTATAAGATCTCACTAAATTGTCTGTTTTCAAGGGTATATTTTTTCGTGATGTGGAAACATGTGGATGACTTTGATGGCTGCAATTATTCTAGATACCCTAAAGTTTAATAAAATGTATTGCGGATGCCGTTGCGAGGTGTTGCCGATATTTAAAAACACCATTGTTTGTTTAAGAAAACGAGAAAAATTAAGAATTTCTAGGTAGTTAATTATAGTACTCGATATAAATAAATAAAGTTTATAACACAAATGAAATATTGCCTAAAATATTGTACATACCTTAATTAACGACATCCATATTAATTTCTTTCACCAAAATCTCTTTTAACATAAGAAACAACACAGCAAAAATTTGTTTATTTGTGGAGTGTAGCGAACGAAGACCTACGATGTAAAAGAGCGCTAGGTTCTAGCTGCTGGTACATCGGACT